CAAATATATCAAATATATCAAATATATCAATTATGTCTGATATATCTGACATTTAGATCTGCAACCTTCTGCGTCACATCCGTCAATCCAATCCTGTTACAATATATAACTTTTTACTTAAATTATAATTTAACTCATTTATAAATTTTATGAATTTAAGTTATTAATAAAAGAATTAATTAAATTTACAAAATTATTTTTTTATTTAATGTTATCTTTTATCTAAAATTTATTATAATACTCTACACTAATTTATTTTTAAGTTCATTATTTAAGTTTAACTAAATAAATTTTAAATTCTAAAATATAATAAATTGTCAAGTGATTCAAGAATAATAGATATCTATAGAACTTAGAGAATATTTTAAGCTGTAAATTCTAATAAGTAGAATTAATTATTATAGTTCTTTTAACTTAAATGTTAAAACAATTAAAAATAAATCTAATAATAATATAAATTTATAAAAAGTAATTTGATTATTTAATAATAAATATTCTTTTTATTAGTATTATTAGATTTATTTATTTAGTTTTTTATATTTAAATTATTTACTATTATAATTAATTTTATTTATTAAAATTTAAATCTTTTTTTAAAATTATTATATAATTCATTTAATTTAGAATTTATAGATTATTTAGTTAAACTTAATGATAAACTTAAATGTAATAGTTTAATAATTAATTTTAAATAAAAACTAATATTAAAGAAAAATATTAATTGATTTTTCTTAAAATTTGCTTAAAAGTTCTTAAATAAAAAGTTATATAAATTTTTTTTATAAACTAGTATAATAAAATCATAAGTTAATAATATAAGGTAATTTAAATCATAAAAAATAAAATAAATAAAATAAAATAATAAAATAAAATATTGATGATTTAAAAAAAATTATAAAGATTAAAAATTAAATATTATTTTTTTTAAAAAAAATATAAAAACTTTAAAGAGCAAATAAAATAAAATGCTAATTTTTATTTAGTATAATAATATTATTAGATATGAAATTATTTATAATTGATAAATCTTATATGATATTATTTAATAATGTTATTTATTTAATTTTTCTATTAATATTAGTTATAATATATTAAATTAAAATTATTAAATTTAAAATAAAATTTTATTAAAAATATTATAATTTATATATTTTGTTAAAATAAAAATTAGAGTTAAAAAATTATTTAGTAAAATTGGAATTTTTAGTTTTTAATATTATTAAATTAAATTAAGATATAATAGAAATAAATATAACTATAAATATTTATAAATAATTATTATTTGTATTATTACTTTATCTTTAATTAAAATATAATAAATTTTTAATTTTCAATTAATCTGATTTTTTAGTAAATAAATAATTTTTATTTATATTAAAATATTAATTCTTTAAATATAAATTTATTTTTTATATATATAATAAATACTATTATATAATATTTTATTATTATTATAAATTTAATTTTAAATAACTGCAATAATGAGTATCAGTTTCATATGATATAATATAATCATGTAATTATTATATCATTGATTTAATAAAATAAATTATTATAATATAAATAATTTATTATTTTTTTGATTATTTTCTTTTTATTTACAGAGCTAATTTTTTTTTTCTTTTATTTACAAAATTAACTTTTTCTTTTTTATTAAAATATGATGATAGAAAATAAAATTTTGATTTAATATTGATTAAAATATTTTATTTATATTTAATAAAATATATTTGATATTAAACAGAATATAATAAAAAAGTTAAAAAATTATTATTCAAATTAGTATTAATTATTTTCTTTATGAAAAATTATTAAATTACATTTAAATTAATATGTAAAATTAGTTACATTATAAATATACAAATGTTTATAGTGATAGAATTATTATTTACTATATATTTTGAATATAGTCATTTTAATAAACTAGTAATTAATCCTATTTATCAATATAACAGAATATCTAAAAAAATTAAATGTTTATAATATATAAATCTCTTATTCTAAATCATTATTAAATATGGTTGTAAAAGTATTATTAATTGATATAATTATTCTATATTTTTTGATATAGTATACTTTATTCTTAAATATTATAAATTTTCAAATAAAATAAAAGAAAAAATTAAGTTTTATATTACAAAAGAAAATATAAAATTAAAGCAGTTTTTTTTTATTAGTTTTATAATTCTTAAATGCAATTATCTAAAAAAAAAAAAGACTTTTATAATCCTATTTAAAATTTAAATTATCTCTTATTTAATGATAAGAAATATATAATGTTTGATTAATATATTACTTAAATTAAAAAATTAAGAATTTGAATAAATTATTAATACAAAAATTGATTTATTTGATAATTCTCTTATAAGATTATTTTGAATATTACTAGTATAATACTAATATTTAATATAATATAATAATATATTATAAATAGATAATACATATTAAAATAATTAGTTTAATATGTATTTAACTCTTTTAATTATTATAAATAACAATATTAAAAGTTAGTTTATTATATAGTATTTATCAGAAAATGAAATAACTGATAACTATGAATAGCTTTTAGATTGTATTCTTCAAATAACTAATAATAGTTTATTAATTTGTTTATTTTAGATGCAAATCCTACTTTAATAAATGTAGTATTTTTATTACTTAATATTCTCTATGTATTTTTCATATTTAAGAGAATATATGAAAAATTTATAAAATAAATTAAGTTAAAATTATGAATTATTTTATAAAGATTTTTTGTATACTCAAAATAGCTTATTTAATGATGAATTTTATTAATGTTAAAAAATATTAATAGAAAAGTATCCTTTTTTAAAGAATATCTTAATTAATTGTTATTAAGTGTGGATAAAGTATTTTCAAATCAAATATTTTATAATTAAAATTTAAAGTATACAAAGAGTTGAATAAATTAATTAAAGAAGGTACTAATAATATCATTTCATTATGTAATTTGCATAAGTATATCTAAAGTTTATTAAATAATAAATCTAAATAGGTTCACTATATTAATTATTTTCAAAGTCTTTTAATAAACCAAATACTGTCTATTATTAAACTAATATTTCTTAAAATAATTGAGTTAATAAAAAAATATTCATTATTAGTCTGAAACGAAGTGAAGGATTATATATGTCTATATAAAGTGTTCTGATATTCGCCCGCTCAAAAATTGAGTTGATGCTGATTAGCTTTGCAATATTTTTTTTATTTAAGATTATTTGGACTTAATAACGGTTCCTATTTCCTAGTTACATATATTATTCATTTAAAGATAGCAAATTTTTGATTCTTTATTATATTAATCAAAGAAAATTTCTAAAGGAATGATAAAGAATATACATGTAAGTTATATTATATTAATCTTTTAAAATATTCATTTATTATGAATTTTATTTTGTTTATATTTTTAGGATAATAATTAGCTTGATTATAATGATGGATTTCTTGAAGATGAACTTAATAGACCTCAAATAACTCTATATTCTTTTATTGATGGAATTTAACTATCAGATATTGTGAAAGTCTAAGAACTTTTAATTTTATAAAAGCATACAAATATAATGTTATTTTACTGATTAATGGAGAACATTTATGCACCTGTTTATCTATTATTAATTGTGGACTTGTATGTTCATATTTCTTTAATATTATGATAAACTATAAGACAGTAAATTTTAATATTAGTCTTATTACCAAGTGATGGTATTTAAAAGAAATTCAAGATCAAGAAAATCTAATTTACAAGAAAAAACTGTGAAAATAGTAACTCAATTCAGCAAGATTATGATAATGAATTAATAGTGACTGATTTACATATCTTCAACCAACTTAGAGCCCCAAATCTATTTACAAGTAAAAAACAAACGTATACAGAGGAAAGTCAAATATGGTATGGATTTGAAAAATGAAGGTAGCACCTAATATTGCTCTTGATTGGGGCTGTGAAGATGAAATGATTTATATGCTAAATGGCTTTATTGATCGAAAAAAAGTCAGTGTTGAAGATGTAAACTATGAAAAGGTGGAAGTATCAGATCCCGTTGTTCAAAAACGGTGTGAAGATCATCACAGAAACGAATTAAATCAGCATCAGAGAGTTTACATCATAGAAGAACTACTAGGTGCAATTAATCCACTCGATCCAAATTTACATGTAAACACACAACAGTCTCATTCATCTACATCAAGAAAAATCCTTTATACACTCTTAATTCTAATGAGGTATATGCCAATGAGGAACTTGATGGTGAAGTCACAAACAAAAATAATAGTAAACGAAATATATGTGCAATGTATGTGGAGAATGTGGTCATAACGCCAGGAAATGTACCAAGCAGCAAAGCAACTTCATAGTTTCTGCTTAACTTTGTTGGTTATATTTGTAAAGCAAGTATTATTTGATTAATTGACTCAAATTACAGTAGTAATTTGAGCCCGGCTCCCTTCGATCGCCGGAAAATTTCTCTTTTATAATAAATTTCAGATCTGTTGCAATGCAAGAATAAAATTTTTAAATGCTAAACTTTTCTTTTTTATGCTTATTTTGCGACAATATCAATTATCTAACAATTTTTTTTAGAAAAAAAATTTGTTTACGCATACTGTACATGTTTATTTTTTGTTAAAAATGTTTAACCGATAGTATCACATGAGGCGCAGTAGTGGTGCGGTGATGGTCACCGCCGGTTATGGTTAAAAAAAATTCTATTATTTATTCAATAGCAAAAATATAGTTATGTTTCCTCGGAATAAAAATTGATGTGATGTGTGTTAAAAGCTTTAATGGAACTTCATCTAAAAAAAATTCGAGGGTAATTCTTAACAGTGTTTTTCTTCTCTTTAATTTACAACGGTCAAATCATTTTGTTTATTTAAGCTAATACATACTGAGTATGGATTCTATATAAGATATTTAAAAAACTGGATACAATGATAATCAAGTGACAAAGTTTAAATGTAAATACTGTACATGTGATAAAAACGTAAATTATAAGAGATAATATTGAAAGCATAGTAATTCAATTAATTCAATTTATTTATTTATTTTTTTTATTTTAGATAATTTATAACTAAAACTTTTATTTCAAAGAATTATATAATTTGTCAAAAATTCCTTCCATTCATTTTTTAAGATTTTTGATCCTGTCATCATCCATTTGATTCTAAAATGGAACACGTCATTACTCTTATAAAGTGATCCTTTCTGACCATCACCTATCACATCATCTCGTCTCGTTAAAATTTCTCAACGACAAAATTAATGCTTGATCGAAAGAAATGTTTGATCGTTTGTTGCTACGATAGACAAGGTTCAAGGTTTGAACTTGATCCATAGAATTGAATCATGGATTTTCGGTATGCTATCTAAAATTACATAAAATAGTCACAAAGTTGCAGCAATGGAATTTCGTCATTTGAGAGACACGTGTCGTAAACGTTTGTTCTGTTTAGTAATGCCCATGAATCCTTCTCCAAAAGTATTCCAGGTTCTCCTTAAAATTTTCGCTAATATCAGCATAATTTGGTTGATAAATGTTATAATATATATTTTCAAGTAAAATGAACCAATATTTCCTTTCAGCATGATTTCGAGGAATATTATTGATTTCATTGGATTGTCTATTAATTTGAGCTCTGTGATTTAATATAATTTCTGGCCTGTTATAGTCATATGAAACTTTTAAAGAGAATTCTTCCAATTGTAATCCAAATATAATGGGCAAACTTATTTTAAAAAATGGGTGAATGATTTCATAACTTTTTGCCAATTGTATGTATTGCAAGTAACTTGCTTTAATCGGAACCTTCTCATTACAATATTCAAGATAAATGGAGCAAATAGAATAAAAAGAACGGGGTGAAAGACGGTCCGGAATTTCTCTATCAGGATTCTCTTGTAACTTTAGATCGATCCAAACTCGTGATTCAACAATGTCATCAAAGCATTTCTGCGTAGCCTTAGAATCGGGACCGTAAGTTCTAAGTATCCAACGGTAGATATTTGAATTGACTGTTAAGGATCGAATTTCTTTGGTTGTCATGATCGATTCAGCATCAAGTTTAAATTCAACTTTATGATAATCTAACGCCGCCTTTAGAGCTTCTTCAGGTTGTCGATCCACTCTCTTAATTAAAAATCCTAATAAGTCATTCTTCTTGGAATTTCTCTCGGGTCTCATTGCAAGAGTAAGACATGACAATGCGATATCGGATTTTGATTCCTTACGAACGATTTGAAATGAGTCCAATAAAAGATCACCGACTGCCTTTAATCTATGTCCAAGTTCAAACGAATGTAATACTTCTTCTATAACATCAAGAGATAATTCGAAACCAAGTCGAATAAGTTCTTGTAGACGAGCAACGACAGTTTCCACATCAGGGCATATCCAATCATCTGATGGGGTGGGAGGGAAGAGCATATTAAATGCACTTCGCATTACGAAGTCATTGGTATCGTTACAAATATCATGATAGCCAATTTCTTTCCAAAAGGTTATCAAATCCGGATGAGCTAATATCGCTTTAGCCACCACATTCCATTGACGATTGTTCTCATAACCATCCTTTGGTGGATACATTTCACGAGTTCTGATTTTCATTAATTTAACATAATCTATCGTATCCTCATATTTAAGTTTTGGTCGTGGTGGAAATGGGACAAATTTTTTTATCAAGATCAAATCTTTAACGAGATCAAAATTTGGTTCATGACGGACAAGCCTTGCGGGTCCGCGATAGAAACGAGGATCGCCTAATAAATATCGGAAGTACTCCATGTCATTCCCTTTAGCTAAAATATTTTGATCGTTCAACAGACTAAATCCTTCAGTAATTAAGTTTGTGAGGTTCGTTAAAGATAAATTACTTCCCCAAGGCAAGGAAGGAAAGGGTAATTTCTTATGAAAGGCACGATATCTATCCAAGTCGACTTGAATTATATTATTATGTACGACTTTCAGATAAGGTAGGGTGATGAGCTTTTCGTCGATACCGAAATGCTTTAATAAACGTTGTATAAGATATCTAGAGAGTATCGCCTTTTTTAAAAGTAAATGTATGACCTTTTCTGTTATGAAGCCGTTACCAAGCCTCACGGCGTGAAATATTGCGTGCGCTCTACCATACTTGTAAATTAACCATTCAGCTCGAGCATGAGGGTCTTGAGAGATATTATGCCATTTCCGACTTGAAACTAAAAGGTTGATAGGTGTTGGTATGTGTTTAAATATTTCAATGTTTAATTCGTCGTATAATGACAACATATTTAAATCTGATATCCGGGTATACGGATCTTTGCGGACTATCAAAACAAAAAAAAAAAAAAAAAAAAATTCTAGTAAATAAAAAAATTCGTAATGATTTTTCAAGGAAGTGGGCGCACTTGATGAATAAACAAATGTTGATTGTTTTATATTTTAAATTGACTTCGAACAATGTGACTTGTTTGTCAAACGTCACACATCAAGTTTAAGTCCCTTATTTGGGGATAGATGATTTGTAAAAATGAAAAATAAAATTCAATTTCAATATACCCAACGATGAATCAAAATCGAAATTAAAAATAGTGGCTTTAAAGAATGCATAAAATATCGATGACCTAACATGACACTATTCCATAAGCCCATCTTTTACAATAGAAAGGGGGGGGGAAAATAAAACATGCTAATCTGAACATATCTTGGCTTGAAAATCATATTTGACATATTTCCCCCTTTCTATCGCATATTGTAATTGTAATTGACAAGAACAAACGCTGTAATAACAATTAAGTGAACTTTTCTGATAATGACACCTTATTTTCCGTCACCCTGTATAAAAAGCTCTCAACTTTTACCAAGTATTTTGGATATATTTCTAATTGACACGCATTATTTGTCACAGATACCAGATCTGAAAATGCACTTTGTGACATTAAATCCTAGCTCAATGCACGGGACAATTTGGGACATAGATAATGTATGCTACAGTGTTGTTCGACAGTCACGGCAGAAACACGTTTAAACCATTGTTTTCCGACGATTACGTGATGGATGTTTAAATATTTTAGGTAAAAATTTGAAAATCTCAATAAAGTAACAATTATACCAAACAAAGATAGTTTATTATAATAAAAATAAAATAAAAATAAATTGTATTATGATTGTATGACAATCATTATTTTCTGAACTGATCACGAATTTGTTCAAGCAGTTTCGATAACTTGATCACTTTGCTGTGGTTGTTTAGATTTACATAATCTCTTTAAGGAATTATTAAGCGCCCGAGGTCTCTTCAGATTAGTAAACAATTTATTGCAAAATTTAGATTCATCTTCGTCTGGTTTTTTTATCTCGTCAGTAGCAGTGGTTTTAAATATTGATGATTTTCTAATACTAATTGTTCTTTTTAATGTTGGATTATTTGAATCATTTTCTGAAGATTTAAAAACATTTGTATTAGGTAAAGAAGAATGAATTGAGAGATATTTTCCAAAGAATCTATCTTTTCGTTTCTTATTAACCAACATTGAATTACCACGAATTAAATTACTAGATCCTTCATCTGGAATTGTGTAGAAAGGTGTAATAGTAGCGTTAGTATCCCCTTCTTTTGTCAATGCGGTAAAAGAAAGTTTGATATCATCGCTAATTTCATCAAATTTTATTATTTCCTCTGCTATTTTTCTTATTTCACTCTGACTATTCTCCTGAACATTCTTTACTGCTGGATCTTCTGAAACCTCTTGATTGGTTTCTTGATCTCCATCATCATCATCATCATCATCAACTTTGGTAATATTACAAAATTCCTCTACATCATTTTCGGTAATATCATTATCGGTAATATTACTAATATCTTTATCATTACTATCGGTAATATTACTACTGGTATTCAAATTAATATCGGTAATAAAATTAGGAGCGACGTTATTGGAGCCAGTTAAAAAGTTTGACATCATCCTTTGATTATAAAACAATAATTTTGAATTTACTTTTGTGAGAGTATAATTAGATGATACATCATTTTGATGATGTTTTACTTGAAAACTTTTGTTGAAATTTACATGTATCGATGAAAGTGGTATAAGGTGTTTCGTAAATGAATGATGTGCGATTTTATGTATCAATCCCGTTTCTCGTAAATTTTGTGGTTGACTTTCTATTGGTAAGAAAGGATCATCGTTTGCTTTAGTTTCTAATGTTTTGGAAGATTTTGAAACGGTAAGGTTATCTATATTAGAAGTTTTAAAAGCATGTGAAGAATCAAAATATTCATAGTCCGTCGCCGTTGTTGTGGTGATTGTATTTGTAACAGCAATACCAGTTGGCTGTGTACTGTTGGTTTTATAAAATAATGATATTACGGATTTAAACATCTTTTTTCTTTTTTAATATTAAAAAAGAAAATTGGGGTGTGAAAGGTGTCCCCCTAACCAAAATTTTTTTAAAAAAAGGAAAGAGAATTTTAAACGAGCGTACCTAAAAAAAAAAAAAAAAAAAAAAAAAAAAAAAAAAAAATCTATTTACTTACCGTTGTGGAACTGAAAAAAAGAAAGTGAGAAACACGCAAAGTCTAGTAAGTTGTATAAGCCAGAGTAAAAGGATTGTTAAGGGAAAAAGAATAATTAAGCAGATATAAATATAAAAAAATATTAGGATTAACGCATCCCATGAAAATTTTCCACATGGACGATTTATTTGCGTGCGTCATGAAATTCCGGAATTAATGTTTTGGCAATTATTTAAATTATTTAAGGTTCTAAATTCGGTTAAAATTGTAACGATTTTAAAATTTAAATTAATCCTTGGTTTATTAACCATTACCAAATTTGAAGTATAATCAATTTTTGAAATTGAATAATCATCTCAATATTTATAAATAATTAAAAATGGCAATCATAATATGGGACCTTTGCAATAATAGAAAGGGGGAAAAAATCAATTTTACTTTTATATGCCAATATGATTTTTAGGTCAAAATATGTTCAGATTTAGCATTTTTTATTTTTTTCCAGCCGTTTCCCCTTTTTCTATTGCAAAGCCCATATAAGCTCAAGTATCAAGATGGTGAAATGAAATCGAACGTTGCAGCATCAATGAAAATTACATGTAAAAATAAATTTTTAATCTCTTAATGAATTTCAAAAAGAGCAAAATAATTACCTTTGTCAGAGAGAAAAAAATTTAAAACCATTATTGATTTTCTATTGTGATCTATGGCAAGTGCATATGGTCCCATAGTAGTGTGGGTTTCGGAGATAGGACTATCATTCTAGGTTAGAACGAATATAACGAATATATCATTCCGATTCAAAGTTAGTATAATATTTTGATCATGTGAATTAAATTTTTGACTTGGGGGAACATAGTCAGAAGTTGCAGATCATTCAGTTCTTTTCACCACATGTGATTAAAAAGCAAGCTGATACTAATTTATAATCACGGTCATCTGGAGAACAAAGAAAAAAAAAATGTTAATCTTTTGTCATTCTTGTTAGAATCAGGAATTATGTAGGTAGAACAGTTCATCCTATATGTAAATTACCATCGTAAGGGTTTTTCTGGGAAGGGTAAATTAGCCGTATTAAAATTTTTAACGTTACTGACTGCGACAGGTTTTATGATTTAAAAACCCTTCTTTGAATTTGAATGTCTTTATTGCTTGAAAAACTTGTTCGTCATTAAAGCTTCCAGAGAGAAATCAGAGTCACCACCAGAAAAGAATCACTGTAAATCTTCTCTTTTATGAAAGTATCAGTAGGAGATGATTTTCCTTTTCATATTGGACGATGCTGATTAAATTTTCAATATTTCCGTCCTTTTATGCGTATTGGTAGGATACATGCCAATTGCTGTGAAATAATCACCAACAGGGTTTCTGAGTAATCAGCAAAGAACGCAGAGCAAAATTGCAATTAAAATAAAAAAAATTTCTTAAACAAGTCGGAGCATTTGAGTTACATAAGATGTGTCAGTTAACTATTCCTCCTAGCCCTTTATTTACTAGGGAGTTAGAGTTTCTAATTACTGACATTTACTACTAATTTCACAATTAATGTCCGTTTTTTTGCTTTTCGTTAAGTTGATTTATAAGTTGTTTACGATTGAAAAGAGGACGAAAAATATGAAAAAGGTAGTAATTCTGATTTTGTAATATAATGTAAACGTTAGAAAAAAGATTGCGAGGACAAACACGG